GGAAGGGGCTAATGAATAAACTTTGAGTCTATTGCGTATGCCGTGTACTAGAGGGCTCCCCCTCCTTCTGTTCCTGGGATGGACAACACGTCGTTGGTCCAATATCTGCAATGAGTTGGGTTTGGGACTAGACCAGCAGGTACTGACAGTATTCCGTACTGGACAGTTTCCTTGGACTGGCTCAGAGGGGTGCCAGTACAGCCAGNCATGGTTACCGCCAAAACAAAACAGAGGTAAAAAAAACCGGTAACCTGGTTGCCGAACTCACGAAGTGAATTGGCTTGTGTTACAACGTCGTTGCCGAGCGACGAAAACCCAATCCCGATGGCAAACACCGGGGGGGGCGGCTTGTTTTACAACGTCGTTGCCAAGCGACGAAAACCNATGAGTTGGGTTTGGGACTAGACCAGCAGGTACTGACAGTATTCCGTACTGGACAGTTTCCTTGGACTGGCTCAGAGGGGTGCCAGTACAGCCAGTACTTCAACATGATACGTACGTCCCCATTATGCCTCCTGAACCACATGGAAACCCACCAAATTGCGCGGCATGAGAGGGTGAGAGAGGAACGCAAGCACGAAGCATACACGCCCGCACTCGAGGGAAGCTGCAACCGTGCGATCGATGGACGAATTTGTCACTAGCAGCGATGTGCGTGCTCTTTGTGCCACCAACAGCGCAAGTTGCGCAAGTTGACAAGTTGCTGTTTGATTTTTTGGCGCGGGGGGGGTCGGTCAAGAAGTGAGTATAGGTTGATGGAGCTACGGCAGGGTAGGACGCGCTTTTACGGGTGCATTGCAAAATAATATGATTGCCGTTCGTGGCTTTCAGCCAGGATGTGTTTGTTGTTGAAGGAAAATGAGCACCAGCTTCATGAAAATGATAACCATCTTGTGGAGGTAGTTGAAGATGGTTTGGAAGCAGCTTCATGGTGAACATGTTAGGTTGGATGCGTGTGTGACACCCAACCAAAGTTACATGTTAAATCCCATGCGTGTTGTCACGCCCAACCAAAGCTTCAAGAAACAATTGCCAACATATCGATCATTTTTCGTGAGTCTTGCATCGTGAAAGTGACCCAGAATCACCCAAGAAATATGCTATAATGAAGCCAAATCGCGTAAAAACGCGCCGGAGCCCCCTCACCAGCCGGGGGGGGGCGGTGGTCGCCGCGACCACGCGGCGAAGCCGCGTGGCTAGTGCACTGATCATGTCCCGTAAACTGGTTGCCAGTTCTCCTTGTACTGGTGCTGCGCGCCAGTCCCCAACCCTATTATAACAATGAGGGTCTGCGTTCCTAGCGGATACGGAAGTCCTTCAGAGGACAGAATAAACACCACACGTCAACACACGCAAATTATAGCGCGGTTGATGCAACAGCAAAAACATACACACACAGGGCAATGGGCGGTCAGCCATGCCGTCCGGAACACAAAAGGCAATAACAGCAGGCTCACCGTCCACAGGCGGAGGTCGAGAAAGTCATTCGCGGCTTCGAAAACCCTCCAGTCCGCCCTGTCGTACGACGCCGCTTTCTCCTTCGCCTTTTCGTGCCACACCTGTTTGGTTTCGTGTTTCGTTTCGTTAGACCCAAGGGATGGATGGCGGGATAGGTGGACGTTCTGACTCTTGGGGGCGGTGGATTTCGCACCGTTTCGTATGAGCACGCTCCCGGTGGGTCGTAATGCCAAGGGTTGCTTGTTGTTGTTGTTGTTGTTGTTTCTCACATTACCTCTACAGTCCACAAAAAATGGTGAGCCCGTGGTTTCAAAACCCGGCACATACGACGCCGCGGGGTAACAAAACAAAAATAGGGTACAAACCACTCGGAAAAAGAAAAAAAAATGATAGAAAGAAAAGAACAGATACCGCACCGACCGTTCGAGAAAGGAGCCCTCGGAAACCGATCAAAATAAAACAAAATCAAAAATAAAGGAGGACGCTTCCCACACGCGCCTGAAGAAAAAATCAAAGCGTAACGTACCAGCACCACGCACTACGCACCAGGGCATGGGAGTAATGGAGTAAACTGGACAAAGAGGCGGCAGATGGGCAGACAGCCGGATGAACAAAAAAAAAAAGCAACAGCAAAAGCGAGATCAATGTACCCAACACAGTAGAGTAGGCAGGGAGGTCATGAAAAAAAGCAAGACAGCAAAGAGGCCGAAGGCAATACAAAGGACATACATTAAGGAGTATAGCAGACAGAAGGGAAACAGGGCGCAACAACATCAGCCGGGTACATAGGTCGCCACAAGTGCTGCCTTGGCCGCCCTACTTGCTTCTACAGCAGTGCCCGGTCACCGTTTCTTCCCTCCCACCGCCGCTTCCCCGGCTCTCTTTCTCTTCGGTCCTGAGATGGCCGTACTTTCTGCTTCTGCTTCCCTCGCGCGCTGGCCCTTCGCGGACGCTTCCGCCTCCTGCCTGTGCCATGTCCTCATGAACCATGCCGCCCCGTCCTCGACCTTGTCGTACCACACCTCCGGATCCTTGGCGCTCTCTTTCCATTTACCCCCTTCCTTTCGTCTCCCATGTTGAAAGCCACGAGGTCCTCTCCTAGACGAGACACCCAGTCGCTCTCCTGCCCGCCCCGGTATCCCCACGCCCCCCGCCATCCGTCCTAACAGCATGTGCTTGGGGAGGCGGTTGTCCTCCATGCGCATAACAAAGCCCGCTAAACACAGTCTCCGTTTGCGCACGGTGGCCTCGATGGTTTCCTCGCAGCCTGCCTGGATGAGGGCCTGGGCATAGGACAGGGGGCGGTCTGAGCGTTTCCGCTTGCTCCAGCCGATGCACCGTGTAAGGAACTGATTGGAGGTGGGTCCCATTGCGCTTCGTGTAGTGCTCCGCTGCTAGGCTCCACGAGGCGCACCCATA